GTACCCGCCATCGCGCGTCGCGGGTGCGTTCATGACGTCGCACATCTCTGTTTGATTGAAGTGTGGCTGACTGCTCCCGGGATCGTACAGTGCCTGGGCAGTCGCAGCAGCCATACCCAGAGCTCGAGGACTTCACGTGGACGCAAGAGCTCATCGACTCTGCCGGACCGGCGCTCTGCTATCCCCAGCTCGACTTCAGCAACCTGCAGGACATGACGCAAAGCTTCACTGAGCCCTACTTCGGACCCTCTGGCCCTAGCTACAGTCACTCGGCTCCCCCTGATGGCGCTCCCGGTCACGGACATGGTCCTTCTTGCTGACGTTCCCGACATGGACCGTTCACCCGTTTCGTTTGATACCCCTTGCGCTCCGGCTTGCTAAAAGGACAGTTGCTCTTTACGCTAGTGTCTATACTTCTCGAGTGCGCTCGTCTGCTCTTCGTGGCTGGCTGCGTTGCTCTTCGCCCTTGTTCTTCCACATTGCGATGCTAAACGTCGTCAGGCGTTCTGATCGGCTTTCTTTCCTCTTTGTCTCTTCTTCCTGGCGGAGTTATGTGTACATAGCTAACCTTATCCCCTGCCTTCTGCACTTTGTTCTCGTATCGGTATAGCTGTTTATTCGTGCTGGCTATCTGTCTGGATACGACGCCTTACGCCGCTGTCATGACTTAGATCACGAACTCTGTATTACCCGCATCTGCACCCACTGTAGCGCTGCACCTTGTTTCAATGAGTATCATGTTGATACCATCATCATCCCCCCGAAACGACGATCGACTTCAGCTGTTCACGCAAGCAGTTCCATAACTCGCATACTGGGAGCAAAGAGGACAAGGCATAGCAGATACTGTAGGTAACCTCGGTATAAACGCGAACTCCTCCTGCATCTCTTCTGGGTCGTTTGCCATGAGCGGAGCTGTACATGATACGGTATTTCAGTGAGTTCGACTGGCCCAATGTACCATAGCATAGCCGCGTGACACGCTTTGTGGACAAGTGGGGATTGTACGGCCGCGGTGCCAGTGTCGGATGGTTGATGCAACAGGCGAAGTCGGAATGGACACCGGCTGCTGCACCGGGCACCGCTCCCTTGTATTGGGAATTCAGGTAGCGATAGCGGGAGAAAGATCATCTTCACGTTCCTCTACCAGCCGAGTCGATGCGTCGACCACATTGAACTCGACACGCTTGATTCTCGAGAGACCTGTTCGAGGAACAATGCCGGATGCGCGGCGGTACTCTCTCAAGTCGATGAAGGGAACTGCATCTTGATCACCTGCTTTAGCAGGTTTCGTACGTCTGCCTCCACACTACTGTGTGCGGCCTTCTCATAACCATGCAGAACATGATCCGACTCCAGGTCACCCGGAGCGTTGCGATGATGTAGCCCACATCTTCGCCGCCGCATTCCTCATCGGGCTCCGGCCTCAGTGACCAACGAGCGGTGGAAGTGTGATATGTCGCAATGTAATCTGGTGACGGAGGGCGAGAGCCATCCCAGCGACAGGAAACAAGCACGGGGGAGCGGCTGCGCGCAGGAAGGCTATCGTCGCGCGCCGCGGACAGCAGCAGGGCCAGACCCGAGCGCGTTAGAAGGATCGGTCACTTCACGGACGGTCACGGTACTGGCCGTAGTCGTTCCGGCGACGATGCCTCTGTCAGCTGCACTCGTGGGGCACCACGAGAACGGTCCTATCAGGGCGGAACCCGGACCAAGATTTGCTGCGACAATGTCGGGTCCCGCGACAGCATCATGATATGTGGTTATGATCTTGATCCCTGACTCGCCTGACTCGGAGAAAGGCTCGAGTGTGGGGGTACTGCGAGGACAAGTCGCTGCTTCATGATCTGCATGCTCTCCGGTCAGCGATGGAGGCGCAACATCACGGAACAACGAGGACTGCGTACAGATGTGGAGTCCAACGTCGCAGCTTCATCAGTGTCCGGTGCGACCAGCCTTGACGGACGTTCAGTCAGCACGAAGGTCCCTCTGCTACTGTCCGGGTTAGGCGGGGATGCTCCAAGGTTCAAGGTGAGCTGCAAGGGTCCTGAGGACGTTGCGGCTCCCGTACGTGAGGGTGGCCCGGTCTTCGGCAGCCGTCGTCCCCACGTTTCGCCCCAATTCAACACCCGGGGATGATCTTCCAGTCGCCGCTGTCAGTATCCCGTATCTGTGGGGCAGAAGTGGGGACTTACCTCGTTGGTTTGTCCTATCATCAGCTTCTTGGAGACCGGGCGGGCAACGCCAACATGACGAGTCCTTTGCTTGGACCCAGAGCCGTCTTTAATACGGAACCGCGCCGGCATCGAACACGACATGATGCGGCCGACATTGTCGTTCGAAGATATCTTCCTCTTGCGCGTCATGGTGGAGGACTTGAATGCGAGTTGACGAGAGAATGGAGGCGAAGGGAAGGGAAGGAGACGAATGTGTTATCGTCGACCTGCGCTCTTATAGTGAACGGACTCATTCAGTCGAATGGTGGGAAGCACATCCGCAGCGGGTACGTTGGCTTGCCACGATGAGGAAACTTGGCTCGAGAAGGGTACCACATACGGGGCTCGGAAAGGTTAGCAGGACATCTTCCCGAGTGCAAGCGGACGAGCTCCCAGAGCTTCAAAGCGAAAAGGAAACTTGAAGAGCATCTGAGCACTCACCAACATACTAGGCAGGTGCACGGACTCAACCTTGGCAGATGAATGATACTTGGCCTCCTTCCCTCCCAGTTGTCCCCTTGGTATCGTATCGAAACATCTCCCATTTGGTAAGGTGGGATCTGCGAACTGGATCTGTGGGCCGTTAGACAGCAACGTCTTCTAGTGCACACGTGTAATGCACCCCTACGTGGATCCGAGTCGGAGCAGGGACAGAAGACTGCGGCAACCGTCATGCGGCGACCGCGAGGCGTTGTGGCGATGCAAGTCTTCAGAAGGTTCGCAAGGGCCGAGCCAACACTAACCTCATAGTCACTGCCCCGGGCATGTAACTGCTTGTCTTCGCCCAGTTGATGATCGAAGGGCAGGACTCGACGCGCGTACACCACGAGGGTGTAGCAAACCCAGGCATGAGATTCATAGCGCATATGTTCTGGGCATAGCATAGCTAGCGAGTTCGGAACGAGCGGTGTAAGTATCGAGGCCTGAGGCTTTCCGCGTGACATCCGTATACTTCACCACTGCTCCACCACCACGGCTTGCGAGGCTTCTTGGGGAGCCTCTCCGTCCGTACCCAACTCGGCAGCGTCACTAACTCCGACAGGGAGCAGAAGAGGACGGCCGACTTCAGGAACCTCCATCTCGTAGTGTTCCCGACGCGCAGACGTAGACCTTTGAAGGCCCAGCATGTTATCGTCGGCGTATGGCGGGACTGCATAGGCCACGTCTGGCTGACTGGAGTATGCCGCGGCGTGGGGAAGCGATGTGGCGTCTCCATGCTGGCTGAAGACGCAGGAGACGGCATGAGATGGAAAGTCCGGTTGTAGAACCATGTCAAACGGATCTAGCACGGGCCGAAGGCGTGTACATAAACAGGAGTTGGCATAGGGACGGGCCAGCAGAGCCGGGAAAGGACCGTGATACTGTGGTGCTTCTTGTGTTGGAGTGAGTGGCGCGGGATGGAACGGCTCGACCACAGCCCTATAGCCCGATGCGAATGGTGGCAGAGGATTTTGCTGAGGAGTAGGAGGCAATCCGGGTGTCTCTGTGGACTCCCTAGTAGGAGCTCCCGGTGGCTTGCCGGCCTGCGCCACTCGGTGCGAGGCGTCGGTCATCTCACCCTCGTCATAGCCAACGCTTGCTTCGTCCCCCAGTTCATGTTGACCGGAATGAATGTCCGTGTCCAGCAGCAGTGGAGGGTGCTCGGTGCTCGCATTCGGGAGAGACTGGATCCAGGATTTGACCCTCTGCGCGCTCGCAGCCGCCTGTCAGTGGTGTGAGATAACATCAGCGCCGTGTAGTCAAGATATGCATACATGGAGTACGTACCTTGGACGGAAGCTCCGACCGTTGGGTGCGAGCATCTGGGAGAGTCTGAATCCAGGATTTCACCCTCTCCGCGCGAGCAGCGGCCTGTCGGTGGTATGAGATAATATCAGCGCCGTGTAATCAAGACATATATACATTGAGTGCATACCTCGACCAGGAGCTGCGATCGTTGTCTACCCTGCACACTCGCCGTCGCGTGGTGGCGCAACACAGTTGCGCGGCACCGAACGGTTCCGAGTCTGGTCAGCGCCTTCTCAGGTTGATGACGGTTGTCTTTCATGAAGGGTGCCATCCTCGAGAGTGAGCTCTGGATTGCGAACTGTTACAATTGCAGAGGCGTGTGTGATAGAGAGATTGGTTGGGGGATGTGGACTTGGGAAAGGGCGGGCCAACCTACCAAGTACTGGTACTTGTACTCCCCTGCGATCTGGCCGCACGTCGAGGCACTGCAACACGAGGAAGGGATGTGCTGCAGTGAGGCACACATAAGCCTCCCCAAGTAAGGTAAGAGTGATGATCGGAGAGCGTAGCCATGCCTACTACGAAGTACAAGGGCTTCACAAGGGCAGCCATCCAGATCCTGCAGTTCTCGATGCATGAGCGATAAGCAAAGAATCCACAAAGGACTTACCCAATGCGTCTATGTTCATGATGGCTACCAGCAGGTTGAACTTGCGGAACGGTGCACTAGTTTCACGGTGTGGACAAAATATGAGGAAATGTTGTCCATCACTGATCAGCGAGCCACAGCGCGACTGTGCAGTGTGTACCCACATGCAGAACCCATCACTTTGCCGTAGCGCTTGCGGTTTGGCAATTTCAAGAAGCCTTGTTTGCTGCTGCTCAAGACCTGGCACATGGTGCCAAGAAGGTATACAGGCTGATTCTATGCGGATGCATTTCTGGAACAAGGAGGAGGACTGCTCGTAAACGCCAACAGGCGCTCCAAGTGAGTTATGTAGGTGCTGACATAAGGTTTTAATAGTGTAGTACTGCAACTCACCCCCACATTGTAACGGTTCGATGGTGTAGTTGGTTATCACGTCCGTCTCACAGGCTTGAATGGTTTCAACCGTACACGGGAGGTCTCCGGTTCGAACCCGGGTCGAACCATTTTGTTCACCAAATCGCAGTGACAGTTTCCTACTGCTCCTCCCACTGTCTGTTGCTTCGCTGTCTATCGGGTACTTCCTGAGTTAAAGCTGTCTCTCAAAGTACGGAGGAGATCTGTTTGCAACATTGGGCAAGTAGTGCGCGTTTCAGTACGTACGTACGGTAACTACTAAGTAACGATATGAGCCTCTCGGTTGATCAGACTAATTTGGAAACTCAGACGCTCGAGAAGTCTCCAACCAGCCTTGCAAGCCTCATGCCACCTTCTTTCTGGGCGACGCGGTCGCCATGGAGCTCGTTTCGTACGCCGGGCTGTGTGGAGACGAGTACCCCATGGCGCACTGTTTATCGCTGAGGAGGCTGCCAGTGTCCCACTGGCGGTGACTCTGGACGACGTATGCCACGGGGATATCACGCAGCACGGGGCAACCGAAGACACACGAGCAACTACAGTACCAGAGATTAAGCTGTTTGCTGAACTCTCAGCCACGGAACAAAACTGGTCCACTGAGTGCTCCGTCCAGGAGCTCGCCTCGGCCCTCGAGCCTCAGCGAGGACTAACTCGGCGACGACTATGTACCACCATATCATCTTGGGAGTGGACAGCCTCAGGAATGGTAAGCCCTGGCGCCTTCGACTTGGTGTGTACTCAGAAGAATGATGACTGCGCAGCAATACCAATACCCAGATATCTCCTGCATGAGGGCTACCCGCGGGGACCTGATCCTCAGATGCAATTCGTTATGTACGAGCACCAAGGCCAGCGGCCCACGCGGAAGTGGAGGGTTGCGCTTCCGCCACCGCGATCTTGTGTAGTTGGTCTTAGTTGGTACATGTGCGCCCCCATCGAAATTCCCGGGCTTATACCACTTCCCACTCGTTCCAGTGTCCACCCCGGCAGATGACGCCGCAACATGCAACATGTAGAGCGCAATACACATTCTTGATACATAGTGATGATGTCAAGCAATAATAGCTAGGTATACAAGATCAATTATTCGTGTCTTCGTCTTCTTCGCGCAGCACCCACCCGTCGTCCAGGTATGAGGATAAGTACTCCCGTCTACCTCTCCCTCTCCTCATATATGCCCTCTAGCTCTCGGCGGCGGCAGACATGCAGGACACCTACTCGTCGACGCCCTCCTCCCAGCGCATGGACCGCTCGATGGCGCGCTTCCAGCCCTGCCACCGCTTCTCGCGCGCGTCCTCGGGCATGCTCGGCGCGAACTCGAGGTTCCCCTTCGTGTTCACCTCCGCGAGCGTCTCGGGCTTGCTGATGTCCCACCCGTGCAGCCGGATCGCGGACCCCGCAAGCAGCGCCGAGCCCAGCGCAGTCGACCTGCAAGAAGATAGCCAGGACATCGTCAGATTCTGTGTGTTGCACGAGGGACGAGGCGAGAAAGACGAGAGAGACGGTTACGCACTCCCGCATCTCGGGCCGAATGACGGTGAACCCGCCGATGTCCGCGAGGACCTTCATGACCATGTCCCCGTTCGTCATCCCGCCGTCGACCATGAGGTGCTTCAGCTCCGCGTTCGAGTCGAGCTTCATGCTCTCGAGGATCGCGCGCGTCTGGAACGCGTTCGCCTCGAGCGTTGCGAGCGCGATGTGCGCGGGCGTCGTGTACGACGTGAGCCCAATGAGCAGGCCCGCCGCGCCGGGGTCCCAGTACGGCGCAAGGAGCCCGGAGAACGCGGTCACGAAGTACACGCCGCCGGTGTCGGGGACGGACTGCGCGAGGGTGTTCACTTCGGCGGCGGTGGAGACGAGCGACATGGTGTCTCGCAGCCACTTAATGGCGCTGCCAGCAACAGCGACTGAGAAAGATATGAGTATATGCACGGCTTGCACGAGAAATCCGCACTTACTGGATCCCTCGAGCGCATATACCGGCTTCCCGGTAGCACCGTCCTTGTACGCGACGGTGGAGAGCAGGCCGTGCTTGCTAAGCACGACGTCGTCGCCAGTGCAGAACAGCAGGAACGCGCCAGTCCCGTACGTGCACTTGGCCTCCCCCTGTACTGAGACACTTGTTCCCGATGAGCGCAGCCTGCTGGTCGCCGGCAAGACCAGCAACCTTCACGCCCTTCAGCACCGTGCTCTGGAGCTCGCCGTATACCTCGGACGAGGAGACGATCTTCGGGAGGACAGAGTCCTTGATCTCGAAGAACTTGAGAAGAACCGGGTCCCACGTGAGGGTGTTCAGGTTCATGAGGAGGGTACGCGACGCGTTGGTGACGTCGGTGATGTGAAGCTTGTTGGTGAGGCGCTGCGAAAAAAGGTTAGAAGACACGCATATAGGCAGGTACCGGACATATGCATACGTAGAGAATCCAGGACTCGACGGTACCGAAGAGGAGGTCGTCCTCTTCGTGCGCTTTCCGGACGTTCTCGTGGTGGTCAATCATCCATCGCAGCTTGATAGCTGAGAAGTACGTCGATATCGGAAGACCAGAACTATATGCACGAGACATCGTCAGCACGCACGCCGGGATTACGGCTATCGCATAGAACCCACAGTTGGCGGAGAGCCTCGACGCCCTCTACGCCCTTCTTGAACTGGCCGGGCTGAACCTCGATACCGACAGTCTGGAGCTTGTGGTCAAAGTGTGCGACGGTGTTCTTCGTGCGCGCGTCGTCCCAGACGATAAGGCGGCACAAAGGCTTGCCCGTCTTGCGGCTCCAGGCGACGGCACTCTCACGCTGGTTCGTGATACCTACGCGATTGCGAGGGAACGGACGCGTCAGAGCTGTCGTCCGTGGGCGGCTTCGCGGCCACTTGACCGAGAGGTGATGGGCGTACGTACCGATGACCTTTACGCTCTCCTTCGCCCAGCCGGCAGCCTCGAGAGCCTTGGATGCCTCGTTGATGCAGACCTGGCAGCTCTCGACGAGCTCGTCGGGGTCCTGTTCGTGCCAACTGCGGGCAAGCCATCAGCACGCGATAGGGGGTTAGACGCGACGCGGTCACTCACCCGGGCTCCGGATAATACTGGGGGTACTCGATCTGGTGCTGGGCGACGATGTCTGCATGCTTGTCGAAGACAAGGAAGCGGGTGGAGCTGGAGGGAGCGGGGAGCATTCAGCACATCGTCAGGGACGGGAAAAGGGACGCGTACGTCGTGCCGCAGTCGAGGGAGCCGACGAATTCGCCCTGCTTGAGTGCGGACATGGTGGTGGGGGCGGGGTAAAGGGAGAAATGGTGCTCCGCATGGCGAGCGCGTACTTATTGGCAGAGACGGAGCCAGCAGCGCTCAGCCTCGCTCAGCTTAGGAGCGTCAGACTCATGGCCGATAGCTGCTCGATCTACTCGACCCCGGCACCCCGGCCCGACCGTCAGCTGATCTGGGGAAACTGTTCTTCTCCGCGGCGGCTGTTTCCTCCGCCCTCCGCTTCCTGAGCCTCCCCGCGCCCTCCCGCCGGTACCTCGTCTTCGCGATGTCCTGCTCGTCTGCGAGAACACCCTGCGCATGGGGCGGTGGACGAGACACTGAGCTCCTTGCGAGTCGCCATCATGACCTCCGAGGTCGCAGCGCGCCATGGACATCTGACTCTCCGTGAACTTCCGCCGCGCCGTCGGATTATGCGTTCTCCGTTCCGGCAGGTCCCATCAGTGCTCCCCAGTATCATGTGCAATAAGGCACTCCGATCGATCGTACATAGATGCCGAGGGCTTCGAGAAGACCGCCACCAGGCTCGCATACTTCTGCCTGCATCTTCAGGCTAAGATCGCTATACTTATGCCCTCGCTCTCCTATGTGTTCAAGGCAGACTTCGTGTGCACAGGTGCACTATGGATGTATCAACCATCCACGAGTATGAGCACCCGAGGCAGCAGCGCAAGGTTCGCTTTTGAGAGCGGCCGGGCATCGGGGCTGGTATATGTATATGTATACCATGTCATCGATTACGGCGCAATCGGCGCAAGTGTGCGGTAAAACGTATCCAACCCGGGGGCCCAACGCGGGGCAAAAGTGTCGTTGGTCGGACTCAACCTTGAACGCGGGACGGCTGACGAGACAAAGCTTAGAAATTGTAGCGGTGCACTTCCGAGGTTCGTGATCTCGTGCCACTGCAATCGCACACTGCGCAAGTAGGTGTGTCAGACCTTTACACCTGATGCACGCATTCAGGAGACCGGGACATCGGACGCACCTCCGTAACCTTGAGTTGCTCGCGAAACTCCCGCACGACCGCAACTTGAAACACCCCATCCGAGCCGTCCGCCGCGCCCACCGCCACGATCGCGTCGAACCCGTGGTGCTTGGCCTCCAGGTTCGCCTTGACCGCAGCGAAATACGCCTTCAGGTCGAAGGAGGCAAAGTCGTGCGCACCATCGTTGAAGTGGGCGGAGACGTTGAGCGCGAAGGCCACGCCCAGCCGGAGTTGCCGGGCGCGGGGAATAAGGCGCTCACGGAGGAGGTGAGGAAGGAGGCGATGGTCGTGTTGGTCAAGATCACCAGGGTCGCCGTCTGGGCGGACTCACTTTCGATCCGCGCTTTCGCGCATAGCAGCTTGGAAGATTGCGAGCAACTCAGGAGGGATGAGTAAGCAAAGTCGAAAGACGAGCAAAGAAGCGTAGCCGTCCACTGTTGGTCTACCGATACTGTACTTGTCTGGTGATCATCTGCGTACCACGCTGCATCCTCCTCGTCGCTGATGAATGGATGGCTGTCGTCGCAGATGTCGACGTTGCAAATGCCGCAAGTGCCCAATTCCCATTAAGCCAGAATATACAAGGAATACCCTAGATAGGCGATAGAGATGTGAGCAAGACGTATTTTGTACGATGCAGCGACGACCCGTCTATCGACGAGTCAATACCAGTCCATCGTTCTCGCCTCCCAACGGACAGCGAGGCAACCCCAGAGACTAACAGCGCTCAAACCCGTGTCCGTGATGAGGGAATGTCGAATTTGAACTTCTCGTAGCTGCTCCACTTGAAGATGGGCAGCGGATGCGCCTCCGTGTTGAACACCCACTGGTCTAACGGCACGGG